TCTCAAGCGTCCTGTCCGTCATATCTTTTCTTCTTCTTTTTCTGTAAAAAAAGCAGCTGTATCAATCCTCTAAAACAAAGGAAATAAATCTAGGTTCTAGCAATATTTCAGAAAAAATGCTATTAAGCCTGATATTTTTCTTGACATAAACATTGCGCAAACACTCTCATATGTTCTAGTTGTATTCTGTCTACAATTAATTTTATTTTTAAATACATTAAAGTCTTTTCAGTTGTATGTGCCAATCATGAAGACTGAGCAGATAAAACGACACGTTTCGTAACTCTATTTCAATTAATTACAAATATGCAAGCAACTCAATTTTACTTTGAGTAAAACTGCGTGTGGAACCTAACGGTTAAGAATGAATAACACTTACTTTGTCATATCTACCAAATCGTTCAATAGCTGATAGTGAAACTTTCGGTGAGTAATTTTCAGACATTGCAGAGCATTTAGTAGAAGTTTCAAATCAACATTGTTTCGAGCTGAAATGTGAATAGTTTTTCGAAAATAGGTTGAAATGTCAAGAGTGACTAACATTTTTCGATCAATCGGAGCTATGGCATGAAATTTTTATTGTAGACAGCTAACAGTCTACTCTAAACTTTAGTGCCAACACAATGTCTATCATGCGGACGATATTAAACTTTTGAAAGATATTTGCATTTAAATTCCCTTTCTTGCACCTCACTCATAGTCCATTGTTACTAGATTCCATGAAGCATACTTTATTATTCCTGGGTAAAAGAAAAAAATAAACATAAAACTGCAATACAAATATTATTTCGAGCGTTTTGAATGGTTATGTCAGTACTTCATGAAACGAGAAGAAAAATGCATTTCAAAGAACAAGAAAGAAAAATGATAAGAAAGGAACATCAGTGTAACTAAAGCATGAAAAAATTCCGCTTCAAGATCAAAGAAAAAATGCATAAATAACAGAAATAATATCACGAACAAATTACATACGAATCTAATTTATCACACGGGTAAAAGAAGAATAAACTGTTCAGATGAAACAAAAGAGTGTGCGTTATACCTCACGAAGTAATTATAAGTCCAGCAGCCGATGGGCTAACTGAATAGATTTCATGCGGTACTGCTCGTTCCCTCTACCATTTCAGTCTGTTATATTACAGTCTATGTAATCTCAACTATTTGGATCAGCTCTCCATATCGTTTTGCTTAGAGCTGGAAAATGGAATAAATGCAGCGAATTTATGTATAGTGAAAGGATTAAAGCAACGATTAGTTATGGCGAGCTATTCGTAATTAGATCACTTATAAATTTGTTGCTTTTAGTCATCGAAAAGAAAAAAGTACAGAATTCTTTTTTTACTACAGCTAGGACAAGAGGAAGTGATGGCTAAACTATACATTTTAAATTAGATTCCAAACACAGACGGGACAACTAGAGTAGATGCAGTATCGTGGCGAAGAAAAAAGCAAGTGTGATGTAAGTTTTTTGAGAGAACAGTCAGAAATTTTGAGAGGATATGCTTTCTTTTTGCTGCTTGCTCTTCTGAACAGACTTTGCCCTTAAAAAATTCGGAGAAAGTCTTTCAATTAGGAGAAAGTAAAATGCAAAAGCAGCAGTAGTGTACACTACATCTATCGGCACGGAGCTGCATACACAATGGAGAAAAGTATAAAAAATACAAATGAAAAAAATGTCATTAATGACTATTAGAGAGCTACAATATAAAATTTAAAACAAAATAAAAACACAAAACGCAAGAAAAACACTCTATAGGCAAAAAACACGAGTTCAAGGTTATTGACTTGTAGATGGATTGAACGATAGGTGCATTAGCAGTTTAATGAGTATTACTGGAAACTTATCTTATATGTTTTGTTCAAATTAGGTTTTGACGCTACGTTTTTTATTCTCTTTACCTGTTCCCTTTGTGCGAACTAGTCTAAAGCGAAATAAAAGAAATTTTGTCAAAACAAGTTAAGTAGAAGAAATATGAATTGCATAAATAACAAATAGAATAAAAAAGTTATGTGTCGATAACGAATTCTCTAGTTCAAATTATTATTCATCCACTGCTTACTCATTTTCACAGATAAATGACTCACGAGATTGGCTAGAAGTACTGTGACGAATTTCAAGATCTTCTCTTACTAAAAAATCGTTGCCCTGTACATTATTGCCAGGCCGCTCAAATTAAAGAACAGGAACTGGGATTTAACCCTGAGAATTGTTATTAGAAAATAAAAAGAACTTACGGATCATCGGCGTGGTCATGGTCGTCTTCCTCTTTGCGCTTTGATTTTTCTCGTCTCTCAAATATTAAAATGACAATAACAAGTAATAAAACAACCACTAGTATTCCAATAAATGGCCACAAAGCAGCCAATTTATCTAAAAGTCAAAATAAAACAAAATCAATACTCCTCACTGTCAGAAAATATATATTGTTCATTCACCTTTCACACGTAACTTTGTTGTAAACGATGCGTTGTTGATCGAACATCGATAAAAACCTCGGTGTTCTTTCCCAACATTAGCAATTGCCAATGTATTTAGGTTGTTTTCATCGTTCTGAAATCCGGTTTTTGGCAGTTGATTATACACCTTATTATCCAAACTATATGACCATTTAACTGCTTGATTTGGCGGATTTGTAATACATGTTAAATGTAATGGTTCATCTGCCACACGTGTTATTGATCCATATGTTTTTTCCACTACTTCGTTCTTAGATGTTTGCATATAAACGGGAGATGGAATTTCTGAAAAAAAGACAAATAAACACACTTAATACAAGAATCTCTATCTCGCCTCATGCATACTCCGAATTTGACCAAAGTGACATTTCTCTGGTTTACTTTCCATTTCATTCTCTGTCAAAACATACCATCCTTTTACAGCAAAATCATCATCAACTAAAGTAGAAGCACACAAAAAGTTAGTGTATAGTGAACATCAAGAACCTAATATACTCACTAACAACTTTTATTGTTAATACGGATTTCTCTGGGCTAGCTTTTACATCATAATGTCCTTGGAAATCCTTTTTATCTTTTCCAGCACAGTAGTCCTCCTCGCCAATACCATCTTGACACCATTTTTTAAATTTTCCATCGCCACCAGTAGCCAAACATGTGAATGTGATCTGTCCCCGAAAAACAGCTTCAGGATTTAATGGGCTTCCTTCATATTTCACATAAGCAAATGATTTTGTTAGAGCTGAAAAAATTAATTAACGTTTATTAGAAACATTTTGAGCATTCGATACTAAAACTTATTTGTTTCCCATTCACAGCTTCAGCCCATACGCTTGCTCTCAACGACACTCACATTCTCCTAATATTAACTTCAGTCTGAGAAAAGTTCTGTAGTTTTCTCCTAATACTTCGACTATTCTAATCTGCGAATCAAGCGGCGAAAAAATGATCGCAATGTGAAGGCATCCATCGCTGAATGCAAGACAATTCATGTACATGAAAGGAAAAGTGTAGCGTAAAATAGAAGATCAAACGGCTTCATCAACTATTTTGCATGTCTGTCAAACGAACGGCTATATCGGCGACATATTCCCTTCATGCAGAGTTCTAACGTAATTCAGTATTCACAACATTTTTGTTTTTTAATTGTTTGAGTTTTATTACTTATAATAACAAACAGCAAAGCTTTTGACACAATGGAATTGAGACTCATCTTCAACATTTATAAAATTAAATGATCATCAGTTGTTATAGAGTATTCTTCAAAAGCAAACACTCGTATTCGGAATTTTGGACACCCGGATCACTTAACATTACATTCTTTTAATACTATAAAATCTCCACATTACAGATATATACTTGTAACTCTATTTTGTATGTTAATATTGAAAAATTTCAAAAGAATATTTCTGCTAGAGAAAGAACAAAAATTTATCTTAATTCACCTAAGACGCTTAAGTAAATTTACCATTGTGAAAGAGAAATTCAAAACTCTTTTTACAGGTGTCGCGCATAGTCGTCACATATCAACAAAACAGATGATTTGTTTTTCAAATGAGCATGTTCGGTTGTAAACATTTTCAGTTCAACACTATGGATATCTTAACTGTTTTTATGTTGTTAGAGAACGTTTTCCAGCAATTATTCGAGGTGTTCTATGCATGTAATTCTCATTGGATTATTTTGTATAATATGCCAGATCATGATAATATATGGAAAATAAAAATGTGGAACAAGCTAGCGATAGGCAGCAGGTTGTTTTGGGTACTTAAACGCATACGGAAGTTTGACCTTGGTTTTTTGAAGAAAAAATCATTTGGATCTTTTGGATTCAACTTAGCAACCATATTTGATTTTCGCAAAAGAAAAACGTGTAATGGATAAATCTGATTCAGTTATCGATAATCAGACAGTAACATCTACTTCGGAGAATACGGTTTTCAACGAAAAGTCTGCAACAGAAGGGACTACACTACCCAATAATCCAGTTGAAGAGGATGTAGGTGATAAACAATCATCGTCCAATGTTAGTTCAAGTGTCTCGAATAATAATAATTCGAACCAGCAATCTTCTACTTCATCATGGTTAAATTTTGGTGGGTTCTCTCCAAATTTAACAAATCAATTATCTAATTTGAGTTCATCCATAATGCAAGTAACATCAAAAGTAGCAGCATCAACGAATGCACTTGTCCAAAAAACAATGGAACATACACAAATACAAAAACAGCCAGTTGACACAAATAAAGAAGAACATGAACCGTCATCACAATTAGATGAACAACAACACGAACAAACGGATACAAATTCGAATAAAGATATAAGCAGTAAATAAATATAATTTTCTTTTCATTTCTGACTCAATCATGTTTTGGTTTAGGCTTTCTTTTGGACATGGGTAAACAAGCAACGTCGACAGTACTAAAAAGTGCACAACAATTGAAACATGTTGTTGAAGAAAAATCACTGATTGGAAATTTTTCAAAAGAACATGAAAAATTTTTGAATGAAAAACGTACAATACAACGTCGTGAGTAAGTTCGAATATTTTAATTCTTCTATTGGATTCTGCGTTGTAAAAGTACTAAAATAAAATATTCTTTGTAAAATAACTCTTCTATATAATTGGGTATTTTTGCTTATGTGTTCACTAGAAACTATTTAACAAACAAGTATTTCTTCTTAGAGAAGCAGCTGTTCCACCTTGGGTAGGCTACGTCGAAGAAGAAGATATGAAAGCACAAATATTATCATTATCACAAGTAAGACAATGCGTTGAATGCTGTTTTAATCTCATTTGTCTATTCATGTCATTTCAGGAAAGAAGAAATTTCCTTCGAAATCCTCCTCCCGGTGCACAGTACCATTTTGACATGGCTTCAATGTATCCAATTGCTTTGGCAACATTAGATGAAGATGTAAATTTAAAAAAAATGCGTTTTGATTTAGTACCGAAACAGTAAGTTATAAAGTATTTTATGCTACTTTGAAAAAGAGTATCATTCTCACGTTACTAATGTCAGACACTAGCTGAGTTTATTTTCGCTTCGTAGTAAGAAAATATTTTAATTTGGTTTAGTAGTATCAGTAGTCTCTTAATCTCATCAATGTTAATTAGCATTTTTTTTTATTGTTCAGAATAAATGAAGAAACATTTTGGCGAAATTATTTTTATCGCGTGAGCTTAATTAAACAATCTGCTCAACTATCGGCATTAGCCCACGAAACAAGTATGGGTTTAATATCTTTTTCTCTACATTTTTATCATTTTCTCTCTATTTGTTCGCATAGCATCAAACAATTCATCGACTAATTCAAGAAGTTCATCAAAAGAACGTCGTAAGTTTATCCTACTTTCTTTTTTTTAAATAATATAATTGAATATATGTTTGCTTCGTTTTGACTAAGTTCGCAGAACATCTGAAAGTGAAAAATTAACGGGTAATGATAATTCACATAATCAAGAATTTGTTAGTGAAGATTTTGATTCATCAACAGTATCAATGGATGATATACGTCGTGAAATTGAACAATTAACTGTAACAAAGAAGAGCCCAACTAAAACAGCAACAAATAAAGGCAGTAGTCCAGGTAACATTGTAGATAAATTTTTCTAGTATTCTCCTCTAGTCAAAAATCCGCTTAGGCTGCCTAGGAAAGAGTTTCTCTATGACATTTCAAAGTATTGTGATTGATTAATTTTCTAAAGATTTTTTTGCTCGAAAATGCAAGTAGTCATCTGATAATAATCTATTTACTTTAGATCTCGACGAAAGTGAATGGGATAAATCAATGGCTGATGAATTAGCCAATGTATCTGCTGAAGAGCTCGAAGCACAAATTAATGAAATGTTAGCTGGTGAAAATAAGTGATATTTATGGTGATTATTTTTCGGGTTACTGATACTTACGATTTTTAATAGCTGACTATTTAACGGGCTGGTTTCTATTACAAAACATTTTATTTGAACAATCAATCAACCATAAGATTTTTTTCTTACAACATTGAATGCTAGTACAGGCGAACATTGAATAGTTTTAATAAAGTTTTTAACAAAGATTATGTCACTTATTCAAGCTTGCGTACTGGATAATGTTTAGCTACTAACAAAAAGAATTTCAAAACGGTTGTTTTTTTAAATACAAAAAGTGTAACAGTGAGAAGTATCTTACTTTTCTAAATACGGATTTTGTTGCTTCTTTTTTCTTCAAATTGTAAATATGTCACTCTGCTTTATATTTCTTCAACTGTACAAACATTTTCATCTCGATATAATTAACACTTCTACAGTTTTTTCATCTGTAATTTAACATTTCATCGAAATAAATACTAAAAATAGTAAAGCGATTATCTCCATAATATAAATTATATGAGTCCAATTCCAAATCCCCTTCCTGCTGTTAATCAAGATATACATTAGCAAAAATTAAATTAATATAAGATGTCAAATGCTTTGTTGAGTATTCGTCTTTCACGAGTATCTGTATACTGACAATAGAAGTCATAATTATCTCGATTGTTTACTCGCATAGATAGTTGTCACATGTATGAATAGCACGGTATATATTTATGGTATATGTAGCTACGCGGTATTTTTTGTATCAATTAATCTGGCCAATGTTTGATTTTTTTCGCATGCTTTTTGAATGTCGCAATCAATTTTTGCTTAATAATTATCAATCTCATATTTTGTGCTATTTTGTGTTTGTAACTAACAATCGCTTTTAGACAATATAAATGGATATTACAAGCGAAGAACCAGAAATATCAATGATGCAGAAACCTATTGATGAAAAAGAAGACACCTCAAGTATTATGCCACCAAACTGTATAACATTATATTCAAAATTGTTCTTTATAGTTCAAAATCAAGCAATTAACGATACCGAAAAAGAACAGATGATTGAAATAGAACAACAGTATCCAAGTAAAAACAATTCATTATTCAAAACAAATGCTTTTATCATAGGATTTATTTTAGCAGACGAACATCATGAGGATGCAGTCCCGATGCAAATAGAACTTCAAGCTGACACTTCGAAAAATAATAATACCACCATTGATAAGAGTAAAACATGATTCCATGTCATAAATTGCTCTTATCTGCATTTTTGAATTGCAGAATCTACAAATAAAACACGAAATTCGGATGATGAACTATCAACACCACAAAGTCATCGTCGAAAAAAAAGTAGATGATGTTTGTTTTTTTCCTATTATAATAAGGAATAATTAACTAGATTTGTGGAAGGAGAGCGAAGATCTTAGCTTGATGTTGTATTTCACACACAAGTGCAATTTAGTTGACTTATCAATTTTATTTTAGAATCGATTGATGTAAGCGGTGAATATATTGAGTATGATACACTTGCTCAATACGGCTACCAACTTAAAAGTGAGTTTAAACATCTCATATCTAGTCACAAAGTTTGTATCGTATTTTATAACCATAAATAAATTAAATGTATCAAGTTTTTGAGTATTTCAGATGAAAAATTTGTTCAAATTGATATCGATGCACCATTTGAGTACGAATTATACAAAAATAAAGAAGATAATCAAAAACGTTATGAAACGATTGGAAAAGTACACTTTAAAAATGATTAGAAATACTATTGTAACAGATATGTTTATTAATTTTAAGCTGCTTGATAAAGAAATTTATACTTTGCTTGAAACCGAATGTCATTTAACTCGTATTATAATTCCAGTATGTGTATTCAACCTTAAAACTTTTCTCGATGTTAATACATCACAATACTCTTAATTTATTGTGCAGGTTGATGCTAAAAAGAATGAGCCAACAAGTTTCTTTTTTATGAGCACCGATGCGTTGACGCAAGAATATTTGATGATTATTATTCATGGGACAGGTGTTGTTCGAGCAGGTCAGTGGAGTAGAAAGTAAGTTGTGTCACTAAAAAGTAAAAATATATTTCACTTAAGTTTTAATCAATTAAGGTTAATAATGAATGAAGGGTTAGAAATTGGTTCGCAAATTCCTTATATCAAACGTGCTATGTCATTAAATTATGGAGTGATTGTTACAAATACAAATTATAATACAGTTGAATCGCATCGTTCAATGAGAAATCGTTCATTGCGGCCAATACGAGTAAGAACAAGTTTTATTGATTGTGAATTTTTACAGTATTGAGGCGAATTTTTCTATTTTAAATCATCAGTGTGAAACTATTCCTTGTCACTCATTTCGTTCACAATGCTTATCAATAGTCATTCTATCATGTGATGTGATATGATGTGAAAACAAAGTACTATCCATTTCAAAATAGAACGGTTGTGATTGTTTTTCCGTAGAAGTTTCAGGCCTGTTTTTCACTATCGTAAGGTAATCTTTCAAAAACATATGAAACATAATTTATCGAGCATATCGCAAGTGGTAACGACAACATATGTAGCTTGACATACATAAGTATACCATTTGATTTTAATGTTTTTAAAACACATTTTTAATACGAGAAATTTCATTGCTCTACTAGTGTTATCTGATTGAACTGAATGTTTCACTTGAGTTACCTTAGATCCTTTGAAATTGTATATTTTTCTGTTTTAAAAAATCTTTTTTTCTGGTTGAACTAAAGTTACTACAGACGGTTAAGACTTATTGTTGTCGATCATGTTTAATTAAGGGAATCGGAGAAGATCTCATTATGATTTTAGAACTTTTTGATTGTACTATCAAAATGTGTTGTTACTGCAAATACTATTCTTTTTCAAATAACATGAGTCAGCTGGAATCTTTTATATATAATATCTATAATATCTAACGTTTTTCATTTAGGGAAGTGAAAGTGCAGCGGAACATGGTAGTTATGTATGGAAACATTTTGTTGAAAAAAGCAAAGCAAAACACCTTGCTATAATGGCACATAGTTATGGAGGCGCTGTAGTTCTTCATTTGGTATAATAAATAAGACAATAACTCATTTTTTAATATTTACAATTACGTTCTCTTTTAAAGGCTCATGAATATAAAAAAGATTTTAAACAACGAGTATTTGCCATTGCACTTACTGATTCTCCTATGCACGATTATGCTATTGGTTGCGAGTCATCCGTGTGTAAAATATTAAAACCGGTAAGAAAAAAATATATAATAAATGACTTAAGAATATAAAATATATTTTTTCTCTAGAAAACAATCAACTGGGTTACTGATACATCGCCATTGAATACAGATTTAGGAGAAAGTGAATGTGGACATTTATTATCAGCAGGTAAATAATATTTATCCTTGCTTAAATGAATAATAAACTTTTGTACCAAATATACTAGGTCATACTATTCACGAATGGACTTCACATTCAGCATTTGATGCCATATTTGATTTCTTCGATTCAAAACGTAAAGAACTCGAACCATCTGTTCAAAATAAGAAGAACGAAGTACAAATGAACGTTAACGATGACGACGATAGTAATGAAAATAAAATACCTGTTCAAAATAAAAAAAAGAAAACCTAAATACAAATCTGTTTTTATAGAGAGATTATCTTAAAAAAGTTCATTTATGATTTTTTCTGTGCTTAATGTGTTTTTTCTTTATGTGTACTGCTAGCCGGTCACTGAATTTTATTCGAAGAATAAAATCACAAACACATCAAAACAAAAAAACTCTCCCTCAGTGTGTCCAAACAAACACTATATATAAATGAAGAAAGAATGTTGACTCAACGAAAACTGAATCAACATTCTTTGTGGTCATGAGAACGATAACATATGATGAAAGAATGTTGACTCGCAACATTCCTTCACGAGAACATGAAAAAAGAAAAGAAGAATGTATGACTATGTCAGTATAGCTGACATAACATGTACATTGTCTTTATTTTTATATTTGCCATATATATATTGTAGATCTATTTTTTTGCTGAATATCAAAAAAATAATACAAAAATGGGCCTTTTATATTCATCTATTTGTCACGGTTTTCTTCAGTTTAAACTATTTTCCAGTTTTTTGGTGAATGTTTTTTCTAAATGAAGTAACAATATCGAAACATTGATAATCTCTGTTGAGAAATAAAAAATTGACATGATTGCTTAAACGTCTAACATTATCACATAATATATCGGATCGCGTCTGTAGCAGATGAGGATTTTCATTGTCCAATTGTTACTGCGCAAAACCAAGATCTTTACTCCGAGTTAGAGTTTAAATAGAGTGCTCAGAGTAATTATGTCAAAATCAGATACAGAAATGTGGTAAAATTCGGCAAAACTCATGAAACGACTAAGGTACCGCTAATTCATAGGTCGAGCAAAACCTTTTTATCCTGATATTTATATATGATTGGATACAGCTTGACGAGCTGTATCAGAATATGTGTGATTTAACCTTCAAAAAGAATTTTAAGATCCAAAATTTGAAAAAAATCATATTTCTCAAAACCTGAAAAGCGCTCATTAAAAAAGTCTTATCTACGGCATTTGGTAATTTTGAAACATTTTTATCGTTATTCTACGTGAGAAACTGTATTTAAAAAATATACTTTTGATGCTATTCAAATATTATATGACCCTGAAAATTTTTGGTCTTTCGCTAATAATGAAAATCACTCTTCCCTCTCTGGCAAATACTTCAAGTCTTTCTAGATAAGAGATGAAGCTAATATTTTTATATCATCATACTCGTCATAATAGTGCAAAAGAATTTACATATCGGTTTTGGAAAATATTGTTCCATTGTTGAGAAAGTTAATTTTTCCGAGACCGGTAGCAAAAAACAAAGAAACTCACTTGTATTTTGCAGTTATCACCATCAGACTTCTATTTTTTTGCAAAACTAATGGCATATGTGGAATCAGCATCAAAAACTGAATTGATTGATGTGTGTTTCAGGATTTTTGGTAACTTTGGTTTTTTCGAACTTTTCAACCAAGATAATTTCCCCAATGGTAAACGGTGAGTGGCCATAATTATCCCATTTGGGATAATTATGGTCAATCGAAAGGTGTTCTCTGGAAATTTATTAGTACTAATTAACGCTAATGAATTTTAAGAAAATTTCTATATCAGTGGATAGCCAGGCGTTATCGTTATTTACCTGTAAAATATCGCTTTTCCCGGATAAAAGTTGAGTGAACTATAGCAGAAATACGACGAAATTTTGAGCACCTGACCATAATTATCCCGAGGCGCTTTAATCTTTCGTTAATTTTTTTCTTTTTCATCAATATACGCTGAAACGAACGTACATTAATACGTTCGTTATTAATATACACGATGTTCGTTATTAATAACACGATTTTCATTAATTTTAGCCGATTGTCAAAAACGTTTGAGATTTTGTAATTTTTCTAATTTTATATTCGGATTCAGCATAAGATTCTACATCTGAATCACTATCTATTTTAGTTTTTCGATGCTTCCTCGGCTAGAGGACCTCGAAATACACTTCTTGGCGGAAAACAAAAAAATTGAGATAAATTGAAGATTACGCCTTATCAAACCATCTCAGACACTTCTAATACGGGTATTCGTGATCAGCGTGGTCAATTACATATTATCAGGTGGGTTTAGAAAAAATCAAAAATGAAAAGTTGTTCAGAAATCCTGAAGGAGACCTCAGGCCTCAAAAACCTGTCCGAGAGATTTTGTGAAACTAAGTGTCTGAAAATGTTCCTGAGCATCCCCTGATATGGTTCCAATGCAGAAAAACGAAAATTTTGTGGGACAGGAAAGGGTTTTATCCGTTCTGCTCCTTTTAAATTCAGATAAAGTAATTTACTGTAACGAAACTGGTCGCATGATAATAGAACTGAGATAGTTTTCGTCACCAACGTACGAATAAAAATGAAAGTGACAGTTGGGTTTGTACAGTTAATGCTTGTTCTTGTTCAGTTGTTGTAAAAACCAATAAAATAACGTATTAAGTAGAATCCATGAACATGAAAATACACAACATTTGACCAAGTAATATGACAATAATTCCTCAGATAATCAATAGAGATAGATCATATATCTAATTTCATTCCATTCATTATTGAATAATAGACCTTAATATACTATACTCTTGCACGACAGCACGTTTCAACGCATGTGTCAAAATTGTATCTCAGTTGAGAAATGAATATTTTCGCAGAAATATTGGTTTCTCAACTGAACTGAGATATTCTCAACTGAGATATTTGATTAAAATATGGATTGTATCTCAGTTGAGCCTAAACCGTTCTTTCTCTATATACATCAAAGAAATACTTGTTGATTTTAATCAATCAAATCGATACGATCTTCAACGTTGATTTCAATCAGTATTCGATACATTAAAAGCACCCAAAACAAAAAAGATTAAAAGCAAATTGAATAGAACAATTAATTGATAAATTAGTATGTTCGTATACCTGCGCTAAACTGCGAGACACCATCTCGATTGAGAACAATTTCAAATTGTGTGTTCTAGAAGGTGAACAATATTTTATAATCAATCTCAAAGGAGAACAGATTCAATGTAAAACGTCACGTTTGGGTGCCATCAACTTTATGCGTACGGAGGCAATAACGACACGTTTTATACAATAACGACCTATGACCACCTCTACTGGTATCTTCAGTGGCAAATGGTAATGACATGTTTTGTTTCGCAATAGCGGTAATGCTTTGCAAAGTTTGTCTTTTGGTCGAACTCTCATCATAATCGTCTTCTTTTGAACTGTCTTATGATGGGTCTAAACAGGCTCTTCAGTTTTCAAACTGTACTATCAGCTAAGAGTTAACACCGACACCACCGCTACATTATTCTTTTTCTAATTCTGCGCTTTAAGAAGCTTCTTAATTAGTTTATACTTTAATCTGTTATCTTCCATTTACAATTGTTCTCTATCAGGAGTGCATCATTTAAAATTGTTCTGAACTGAGAAATTATTAAGAAAATTTTTTTTATTAGAAAGATCACCAACTGCTGCCAACTTTTCCAGAATAAAAGAAACAGAAGTTCTATTATGTAATCTTCTAAAAATTAAACAACCGAAAATCGCTAAATTAATTTTGTACAATACGAAGTCGAATACATGAACTTAGTTTTGAAACTAACTGATTACATTATAATGGGAGAGAAAAAAGTGATTGACGTAGTTTATAAAGATTATTTATCAGATCGAATTGGACTGCCTTTCCAATTCGAAGATGACCAAAATGATTGTACAACTCATTATTAGAAAACAAAAATTCATATATATCAAGTAACTTATCATGAATGTTTTTTATTTACAATAAAAATGACATGGTAATCCCGTCTTGTGAGACAATTTTTATCACGTCAACTTTTAGATTAGCCTAGTTAGTCATTTATTTTTTATTTTTCTAGTCGACATTAGATACTCATCTATCTCTTCATTAATCTTCTTTTTTTTTTATAAAAACATACTGTAACGTTATTTATGATGATACAGGAGATAATCGATATTAATCGTTGTAAGTAAGTATCAAAAGCTTTTATATCTTAACCGTTTTAAACAGGGAATGAAACAATTTTGACCATAATCATTAAATTCATTTCATTATTGCCACATTAAAATTGAATTGATCTCTTTTTATGGTTCATGCCCGAACTCCGCACACTTTTAATAAAAAGTGAGTATATCTATATTCCAAACTCCGCACATAATTACATAAATTTGAAATGTACGTGATCTCAAACTCCGCACACTTTTTAATTAATAAATAAAACATGAACTGTAAAAAATAAAAAAATACATGTATTCTTTCATATATTCTTAATTTGATTGATATTTCATCCATATAGCGATAAGCTACTGTCCGTGCATTTGGCATATATTCATGCCACGAATACATTGTTGTTCTAGATTTTCATGTGGCTCGTGATGATATTGATCTTTTTGAATCACAGATTTGTTTCAATGAATTAATATCGCAGCATTACACTTCTTGTTGATACAGCGCCTTTTTCATTATTTCGAATATGACAATATCAATGTGAATTATAAACGCAAACTTGTGAATTACGCTGACCGATTTCAATTTCAAATTCTATTTCGTAAAATATTTGTGGGTACACATGTGTTTTTGTATAGAGAATATATATATTTTTAGGAATTATTTGATTACTCATTTTTGATATTAACTGTCTCAATTTCTCCAACAGTTTTTCATAATTTTTTGATTTTTACTCATTTGTCGTATCAGTCATCAGTTATACTATTTACACAGCATTTAAATTATGTTCATATAAAGAAGCGTAGCAATAGCTTTTTGCTATACGGACGAAATATTACAATTAAATTAAGAATCTATGAAAGAATACATGTATTCTTTGATTTTTTACAGTTCATGTTTTACTTGTTAATTAAAAAGTGTGTGGAATTCGGAAAGTAACACTTTTTATTTCTGTATTATTTATGTGTGTCTAATTCGAATTAGATTAAAAGTTAAACAATGTTTTGAATTTGTGTACGCTTTAAAATTTTAACAATAATCTGTATAACAGTTTACGTATATAAATCGGCG